GAGCTGCAATCCTGAGCTGTTCCTAAACGGCCATCTTGGGTCTTCTCCGCTCCTATTATTTATTTATTTATTACCAAAGTGAAAACACCGACTTAAAAATATATGCTTGACTCACAGAGACTTGGAATACTCAAGCCCAGGGAATGTCTCTATGAGCCAGACTCCAATTGGGACACACTATCCTCTGCTAGACTCCTGCTAAGGAAAGCCTGGACTACTTCCTCCCTTCTGTGTCTATCAGCCACTATACCATGTTAAGAAGAACCACTCAAATGTTGTACAGTTGAGCCTTGAACGACAGAGATTTGAACCGTGTGGGTCCACTTACACATGGATTTTCTTCTGCCTCTGCCACCCCTGAGACAGGAAGACCAACCCCTCCTCCTTCTCCTCCTCCTCCTTCTCCTCCTCAGCCTCCTCAATGTGAAGATGTTGAGGATGGAGACTGTCATGATGGTCCACTTCCACTTAAGAAATAGTAAATATATGCCCTCTTCTTTATGATTTTCCTAATAACATTTTCTTTTCTTTAGCTTACTTTATTATAAGTACTAAATATGCATTAATTGACTATGTTATCAGTAAGGCTTTCAGTTAATAGTAAACTACCAGCATTTCAGTTTTAGGGGAGTTAAAATTTATATGCAGATTTTCAACTGCACAGGGGGATAAGTAACCCTAACCCCGACATTGTTCAAGGGTAAACTGTAACTGGAAAATGTGCGCATCTTCTTACTCTCATATCCACAGAGAGTTGTTGCCTTTCAACTGCCCTCTGGATAAGGGGAACCTCCACTTGGAATATCCGCTTCATTCCCACACTTCTTTTCTAGTTATTCCTGACAAGTGACTCATTAGCACATGAGAAACAGATGCTTATGAGGAGAAATGTGTGAAAAGCAGGCTGCTGTAGAGGTTGTCTGCATTCCACGGCAGTTCATCTTCTTACGTGGTCAAAATGTCTGGTTGCCTTGTCAACAAGGATACCTTTTTTCATGTAAACTGGGTGTAGGAGAAGGTGCCACTGCTCACCAGTGAAAGTGATATATTAGCCATAGAACAGGGCAAAGGTTTAGGAGTGCGTTTTGAGTTTAAGGGCATGGGCACCATGCACATTGTAATCTTAGATAAACAGCATAACTGCTCTGAGCCTTAGTTTTCTAATCTATAAGATCAGTCGAAGTAGAGCACCTGTCACTTAGTGGGTGTGAAAAGTAAATTGTATAAATGGAATAATGTATGAAATTACCAAAAACTGTACTTGGCACCCATCCTAATTTCTTAATAAATTGAGCTGTGTATAATTTCTTAGTATTGTCATTGAGGTTTCTCTTGCATAAACATCTACTTCAGGGATATCCCTGCACCTAAGATTCTGAAGCACAGCCCCATTTCCTGAGGCTGTTTGGTCCTGAGCCCTTTTTTGAAAGCTCACACATAAGTCATTAAGTAATGCTGCTCAGGGGCAAGAGCAGTGGGGAAGGGGTGTGTGGCCTTGGTCCTGGCCAGGCCTGCACTCACCCACCATGATGCTCAGGAGACTCACTCAGCTGCTGTAAGTCCCACTTCTGTATAATACCAGTCTTATCACCTGCTCTGCCTGGCCTGCAGAGTTACTGCGATTACAAAAGGAGTCTGTGGATAACGAAATCAATTGGTGTTGCTTTAGTACATATATTTGCCAAAAGAGGATTGTGATTCTAAAAAGGGAGAAGGGAAAGGCAAAATCCGGGAGGCTTCTATATCTTGAGACCAGTTAAGTTTCATCCATAAAGGAAATAAAAGAGAAAAATATTTCTAAGCCATTAAGGCTTTATGTACATCATCATCATCATCATCATTACATACTCTTAACTCAATGCAGAAGAGCAAAGGGAGGCATAGAGAGATTAAATAACTTTCCAAATGTCACAAAGCTGGTAAGTAGTACTTTTTAATCTCAATAAAATAGGAAAATTAAGATTAAAAAGTAAAATAATTTTAGCTTCAAGCATATTGAGCTTCTACTATGTGGCAGACCCTGTGTTAATATTTTTCTTACATTATGTTATTTAAATCATTACCCTCAGCTACAGAGGTATAGAAAGTGAGGCCTAGAGAGATTGAATGAGTTGTCAAATGTCACAAAGCTGGCAAGTGGGAGAGCTTGAGATGGGAACTAAGTTTGCTTGACTCAAGTGAGGGTCTTGCTCGTTATGCCGCATAAGGCAGCCCTCTAGCTGATGAGACAAGACAAGGGAAATAAACACACATGACAGAGTTTGAGAAAAGTTGTGAAGGCTAACCCTTTTACAGAATTAAGTACAACAAAAAATGGCTACTGGGAGTTATATTTCTGTATCCAGAGTCTGATCATTCCTCACCACTTTTACAGTTACCTCCTGGACCAAGGCACTGCCTTTTCTCACCTGGATTATTGCTGTAAACTCTTAATTAGTCTCACTGTCCACACACTGCTTCCATCCCACATACTCACAATAGAGCATCTAGAGGGAGCCTGCTGAGAGATCCATTCAGACCATGTCGGTGGTCTGCTTAGGCCCCTCACATGTAATAAAAGCCATAGCCTTATAGAGATTTTCAAGCCCACCCATGCCCCCTTGGCCCTGACTGCTTTACTGACCTCAACTCCTTTCATTCCTCCCTTAATTTTTCTGCCTCAACCTGCTGCATCCTTGCTGTTCTTCAGATATGCCAGGCAGGTTCGAGCCTCAGGACCTTTGCATCTGCTTTTCCCTCTACCCAGAATGCTATTTTCCTGGATATGCACATGCCTCTATTTCTCACTGTATCTCACAGGGCTCGGTTAGGAGACAGAAACAGTCTAGTTATTTAAACACCATTTTAACATAAGATGTTGTTAACTAGACATATAGTCATTAACTCCTGAAAGAATACTCTGAAGTATTATGGAGTTAGCAAATGCAGGAAGCAATTACTAGCTCTAGGTCTGAGTAAATAGATAAAATAATCACAGAAACTTAGACACTTAGAGACCCCCGCTGAGCAGAAACTTAGACCTTTGGTAGAAGCAGGCACTGTCCAGATGAACCTGATGTCTCTGAGGGGCTGCTGCAAGGCTGGTTCTGCAAGAATTAGAAAGACTAACCCAGACTCAGTTGCTGCTCCAGGAAGGCACTGCATCTGCTGGGGTAAAGAGGCATTCCAGGAATTATGCTTATAGGAATCACAAGCAGACAGAAAGCTCACAAAAGTGAGCCCTTTCCTTCCTCTAGCATCCACTCCCTGATGACACTCCATGTTCACGGAGCCTGACAAGAAGCCAGCCAACAAAGCAGACATTTGGTTTGCAGAATGACAAAGCTAAGTGTGCAAGGTGTGGTTTGGAGGCTGAGCATCTGCAACTCACTAGCTGGGACTCTAGCTTCCCTAAGTTTTGCACATCTCACCGGGACCTTCCTGGCTACCCTAGTTAATGGTGGCTGATCTGGCCCTTTCTATCTCCTTTCTTATTTTATTCTTCTTAACACTGACCTATCTGGCTAGCAGCAGCAGATGCTTTGGTTCTGCATGTCATACCCGCTTGGCTCAGCTTTCTCAACAGCAGCTGTGGTGGACGGTTCTGTGAGAGCTCGGGCTCACGGCCTTCACTGAGGCCCTGTTCCTCAATTAACACCTGTTTCTAGCCAGGTAAAGGGACTAATTATTCTAGATTAGGGTTTCTCAATCCTGGCACTGTGGACATTTTGGGCCAGATAATTCTTTGTTGTGGGAGGCAATGCTATATATTGTACAACATTGATTAGCATCCCTGGTCCCGACCCACTAGATGCCAGCAGCACTACCTCTTTAGTGACAATCAAAAATTCTTCCACAATGCACCTTGGGGGACAAAATGCTCCCTGCTGAGAACCACTTTTCTAGACTTATAACTAGTCCATGGGTTGTGTGAGAACCAGTTGAGCACATGGGTATTGGCATGAGCTACAGTGAGTTTGATTGGATGCATCTTCATGTGTGACCTATATTCCCATGGGCATCGCTAAACTTGACTACATGTCATTTTGCTCACCTGCAAAATGAAAATGATACTATCACATAGGGCTATTATGGGGATTAAATAATTTATGTAGAGGGCTTAGTACAAACCAATTGGTCAATCCAAATCAATAATAAATTATCGTAATTCAAAGCAAAGCAGCAATGTAAGTCGTGAGAAACCATCACCAAGTTGTTTTGTTAATATATAATGCCAAATAGCTGACGGTATTTGTTGTTCGTCTCACTGAAAGTGCTTGACACTGGCCTCAGAGGAATGAGTGGTGGTCATGCTTCTAAAATCTGTAGAAATTTCATAGGAATAAATGCCAGATGCTGGAATCTGGGTAACTGATGATGAGACTTGCCTGCAATTGAGATGCATTTAAAGGCAATTAAGATATTGAGTGCAACTGTATGACACTGCAGAAAAATAATAAACACTTGACAAGTAGTAAATTTCACTGTGATGCTTAGAGTCAACTTGCTGTTTGATTCCTCTAATTGATTTACTGTTCCAAATGGCATCAAAAGGAATCAAAGTAACAAATACGGTTACATTGTATTTCAGGCATTGAGTGGTTTATTCATCTCAGTCAGCACTCAGAACCCAAAACTATCCCTGGTGGATGGAATGTGGCATATTCAGACACAGCTTGAGGTGGCACATAGGTTTCTTTCTGATGAATGACACAAGAACCCCAGACTTTGTTGGCAGTAAGAAATCTGGGTTCTACTCCCAGCTCTGCCACTTACTTCCTATGCACCCCAAGGCCTGTTGTTTCCTCCAGGACTCAGTTTCTCCACATATAATATAAGCAATCTGGGGGGAGTTCGTTAGGTCTTCTATCTCTATGAAGTATCACCCCACCCCCATCCCTCTTCACATACCCTCAGAAGTATGCAAAGAGAGGAAGTCAAGTGTAAAAGGAGTGCTGTTGACTTTGGTGCAGTTGAAGCATGCCTGTTTAATTCTCATGCCTTCTTTCCTTCCTTTCTAGGTACACAGTTCTGCACAGTGGACATCATCAGGAACTCGAGAAACTGCCCATACATAATGACCCAGAATCCCTGGAATCATGCTTCTGATTGAGGACATGGCTCACAACTTAGCCATTCATTCCCATTCATGTTTGCATGAACAGGTCACCCTGGCATCCCTCCTGATCCTCATCACCACCAGTGAGGCACAAGGCAGTAGGGGCTGAGGGCCCATGGCAGGTACACAGAGGATGGTGTTGGGTGGGACCTAAGGCCAGAGCATCAAGGATCTCATCAAGGATCTCAAAGTCGTGAAGGAGCTTCAGGCATCTTCAGATTCACCCACCGACCCAAAGCGGGAGTAGCATCTTCTACTGCATCCCTGAAAGTTGGTCAATCTCTGCTTATACACCTCCAGGGACAGGAGCTCACTGGCTTCTAATTCAGGCCCTTTTATTTTGGAGAAGCTTTAATTATAAGGAATCTCTTTTCTTTCTTGGAACACAAACCTTTTGCTACTCCAGCTTCCATCTGGGGCCATGCAGTTAACCCCCACTTTCCCCTGAGAGCCCTTAAATACTGGAAGAGAGTAATCTGTCACCATGCCTTTCAGTCTTTTCTATAAACTGAACATCTCCAGTTTCCTTTCCATTCTGGCCATCTTGTTCTGGACATGCTTTGGTGGATGAATTAATCATGGCTCTTCTAATAAAGTTAGGCTGATATCAATGCCAAGATGTCCATCTAGAAGCATTGACATAGTAACAAGTGAAATGTCAAGATTTTTGGCCTATAGCCACGAATATTTTCCTTTTTTCCCCCCTTGGGAATGTATTTTGGAGATTATACTGAGGTTTTAGCTTCACAGCCATTACTAAAAGGCATCTTTGCAGCTTGTCTGATATGTGTGTCTTCATGCACACATGTGTGTTTAAATTTGACATTTTCCTATTGGCATATTGGTGTTGAGGTCATTAGGAATTCACTTTATTTCTATGGCAATGGGAAAGGATTTTACTTCGTTACTGAGAATGTTGATTGAAAATGGCCTTATAACCCAGAGTCTGGGAGGGAAACTGACTGTTGTTCACCCTTCAACATCTCGCCCTTTTGAAATACCTATGGAGATGCTTCTTTTTCTCAGTCAAAGTGATCACCATCTTACTTCATCTTGGGGTAAATGATATACTCAGCTTGAGGGTCTGATGGCAGATTTTTAAAGCTGTCTTTCTTTTGGCTGCTGAGCTGATTTTTAAAAACCCTATTGAAAACATTTACTACTGGTCCTCCTTTAGTGAGACAAAGGTAATAGGGCATGTGGGTGATGTTGGGGTTCATATGTAATATGTTTCTGATTGAGGACGTGCCAGGAATTTAACAGCAAGATAAATATGTTCCAGGAGTTTATACCTCACAAGTTCTCTTTGCCCTCCTACTTGGTCTATTGATCCTTCTTCTTCTTAACTGATGTCAGATGCCATGATGGCCTCCTTAACCCTCATTTCTTCCATGAAGGTAGAACCCATTAGCCAGCCCTCTCTCTTCTTTCTGTGCCCAGATATGGTGAGAAGGGATGGTCAGACACCACAGAGGACTAGGGTGATCATCCTTCTGGTTTTAGCATTCAAGTCCCTCATCCCAGGAAACTCCAGGGTCCTGGGCAAACTAAAGAATGTTGGTCACCACACTGGTGGGACCTCCCTGTGTTGAGGATTAATACACCTCCCTCCTCAGAGTAGATTCTCTTTCTTCTCTTTTTCATGGAAAAGGCAAAGATTAGTGAATTTGGAAGTTCATAGTTCTCCTTTCTAAAAAGGGTCTCTCTTCTCCTCCAACCATAAAGCATTTCTTAGGAAAGGACTAAAACAAGGATAATAAGAATACTACTGATAATAGTGCTTTGAGGCTGCTGGTAAACTTTTGTTTAATGCTGCCAATGTTGACAGGATCTACTACTTAATACATACATGCCTACACATATACATAACTACAGGATTTCTTCCTTAGGAAATGCTTCTCTTCCCAGGAGCTTAGTAAGCATATCTGCTTATGTAAAACATTATTTATCAGTGGCAGGTCTTCCATATTAAATGGCAACTTGGATTCAATAGAGACACAAAGATTACAACGTAGGGAGGAATATGAGATTTTACTATATCACAGAACCCTTTTTAACTCTCTAGATGTCCATCTGTGAGCCTGCCCATGGTTGGTGTCTGTAGAGGTCACAGGCACCCTGGATCAGGGAAAAGACAGCAATTGCAAAAATAGTGCCTCTTGTCATTGTCAAGAAAGGGGTCTCCTTTGCAGAGGAGAGCCCCACAAGCTTGCTTTGTTACCACTTGGGACTAGGGCTGGGATGCTGTGAATGATTCATCAAATGCCAACGTTGGTGATTTACAGGACTAGGCCAGACTTGTTCTGTGTGAGCAGCTGCTAGCCTTGCCTAGAAATCCAGGTAATATAGTGTATGTATAAAAGACTCAGAAGGAGAAGACATATCGCTTGTCCAAGGAAAGAGGAGGTCTATACCTTGCCGTCTTCTCTAAGAAGGGCACCCTCTTCCAGGAAGCCTGTCATGTCAAGAAGAGAAGCATCTGGGAAAGAGGATGATGTGCTGCAGACACATCTGCAAGATTGGCCTTGATAATTATTGGGGATGATAAATGCTACAAACAGACTGTCCCCATGTCTAGGAGAAAGGCAGTTCACAGTGCTTCCTTTCCACTTGACTCTCCAGGCTACAAGACCCTCCCGCTCTGAAACGAGAGAGGGATGCACCATTCCAGCCGTCACCATTAGCAGCTAGAAAGCAAATAAAAACCAGCTTCTTCAACTGATACCCAAGTGTGTGCTTGTAGAAAAACCTTTTCCTTCTGAGACCCCACCTTTTGGTCTTGACAACTGTTCCACCTTATGCTGCTAACTTGCTCTGTCCTGATGCAAATTGCCATCTAGCTGGGGACTGCATGGTGGGCAGGGGGTGGATGAGGGAGGGGAACTGTGGAGGGCTGGGGAGTGGATATAACTACATTGCCTTCAATATTGTCTTCAAGCAAGAACAACAATAATGTCTTCTTGGTGCTGTGCTGTCTACCCATTTATCTCTTTGTTGTTGGATCTCTCTTTGGTGAGAAATCATTGTCACTTCTTTTTCTCTATTCACTTTGCTGAGGTCAAAATCCTGTAACACCTAGTCAAGAAGGAAACAAAGACTACTGCATTTACCTCTTCTGGCCAAAATTTGTAATCTCTTTTCCATCTAATTTAGAAAACTGAGGCTGAATACTTGGCTTGAATTCAAACAATTCAGGAATGGATTTGATGTCCCAAGTATGAACAACATGTTGCTTTGGGCCTTTCCCAACACTTAGCTTCACTTGTCTCATCTACAAGATAGAGATCATTTCTGAGTTTGTAGGATTGTTGAGTGCTCCAACATGGGTCATTCAAGGGCCACTGTTAGGATTTTTACCAAATATGTGTTCTGCCTATTTTGTTACCTACTTAACATCTTTATCTAAGTCCATTCAAGTTTTCACTTACATAAATTTATTTTAGAAGAAAACATTATGTTAGTACTCAAAATAGAAAACAAGGCTATTGACTAGTTGCCAGTGCTCAGCGTGCATTCTCTGTTTCTGTGTTTAAAAGGGAAGCGAGTATTGGAGAGTTGTTAGAAACACCCTACATGGGGCTCTTTCAGAGTTGGAAGGGTCAAAAGATAATTTATAAAAGATGAGCTTCCAAACATTAGGAGTCATTGTGATTTGGCTACGAGCTGCATTCTACATTTTTGGAAACATGCAGAGAAGGGATAAGAAACTGCATATATTTTTAACTACTGTTATAGTGGATTCAGATTAGGTTTCTCCTGTACCTTTTCTTTCAGCTGCCCCAGACCTATATCTTTGTTGTTAATAATAATAAAATAGCAGTAATAAGAGTAACTGACATTTATGAGTTTCTTTCTGCTAGGCATTGTGGTCATTGCTTTACATGGATTATCTCATTTAATCCTTATAAAATTCTTACAAAATTGTATGAAAATTACCCCCACTTTACAGCTGAGCAAACATCAGCTGAGACATCTGGTAACTAGCCCAAGGCAGCAGACCCGGGAAGTGTGGATTTGAAATGCAAACCCAGGCAGTCTTATTCTAAATAAGGTCCACAGTTCTAAGCATGTGCTACTGTGTTTATTATGGGGATGTATGCATTCCACCTTCACCTGTTAGACACTGTGCTAGGAGAGAGCAATGAACAAGGTTGCTTAAAGAATTTTCCTTTCCACATCAGCCTGGGACCCGAAAAAGGACTCTGGACATGCCTATTCCAGTGTGAACTCTGCCACTAAATTTCTTTCATGTTTTCTTTTCTCTTGCTTCCACTCCCTGAGCCTCAACTTCCATCTTTAAACAATGGAAGATTCTGGTAAATGATCAGCAGGAAAGGCCCTTCTGCACTGATCTTTTAGTCTTTCTAGTGTTCGCAACCTGGGATTACTGAATAACCAACAATAGACTGTAAGAACAAGATGTGTGAGTCAAAGAAAGCATTGGCCCTTTATATTCCAGGACCTCATGGAGGCTGCTCATAGTAGAAGTGGCCCCTGCAGAAGGCAGTTTGCCTTCCCCACGTTTCTTGGTTGGAACGTGGAACACTATTTGAATATGCTCTCATTGGTCTCAGTAAGCATCAGCCTACCACTGAAGGCTTTGTGCAGTTTCTCTGCACTTTTATAAGATCTGTAAGCCTCTCATAACAGTATATGAAGAGGGATTGTTGACTTCATTTTATAGAAGAGGGAAGACTTTGTCATGGAAAGTGATTTGTCCAAGAATGAAAGCTGATATGAAGCTGAAGTCAGGACTGAAAATATTTCAGATTTCTCAGTTCTAGCAAAGTGCTTCCTTCTTCTTTAAGTTTATCTTATTTCCAGACATATAAATTATACATTTTTAGACTATATAAATTATAGGTTACACAAATGACATATTTATGCAATCCATTTCCACTGTAAAAATTTGTTATATATTAACAGATACAGCAAAATATTCCTTGACCCCAACTCAATCCTACTCACCTTTCCCAAAAGTAAATGCTCTTTTCACTTGGCTTATGTAATTCAAGAACATTTTCTATGCATTTACACATGTATAAATGTACATATAAAACATATGGCTTTGTTTTGTTCTTATATTTAAATAAAATGATGTTGGTATATAATAATCTGCTACTTGCCTTTTCAACAGTGTACTCCAAACACCATTTCACATCAACACATAATTTTCTTTGTAGTTGCTGCGTATGCATTTCATGCTATAGACATTGTATGGATCGCAGTGTTTCTTTTGCATTCTACCTGCTGCCCATGTGTAAATGGGGCATCTCCTGCATCAGAAAATCAGCCTGTTTTTCTCGGACTGTGCTAACCATGGCTGGAGTGGTTTCAAGTTAAGTGGCAGCAGTAAGTTGACTTGGCAGCTTCCCTATTAGGGAGGGCCCACCCTTATATGGGCCTCCTTTCATTAGGAAGAACCAAGAAAATGCACAAGTTGCACAGGGTGACAGCATCCTGCTCCCATCAATTCCTAGATGTGTGCTTTTGAGGAGTATGTAACCTCCTGAAACCAAGTTTTCTTATCAGTAAAGTAGGGAACGTATTGATCATACATTTAAAGTGTTATTTCAAGAGGTATAGAAAGCACTTGGTAATAATCACTTTTAAAAACGCTAGCTTTCATACTGTCATGATTTCCTCTTTCTCAACAACTTCACCAGTTATGTTTTGTACTATCCTGGAATATGCTCTGAGGAACAGGTTGTAGAATGATGAGTCCAAAAAAGCCTCCACTCCCCACCCCCACCAAAAAAAAAAGGCAAAACCAAAAAACAAACATAATGGCTCACACATGTAATCTCAGCACTTTGAGAGGCTGAGGCAGGTGGATCACCTGAGGTCAGGAGTTTGAGACTAGCCTGGCCAACATGGCAAAACCCCATCTCTACTAAAAATACAAAAATTCGCTTGGCGTGGTGGTGGGTGCCTGTAATCCCAGCTAATAAGGAGGCTGAGGCAGAAAAATCGCTTGAACCAGGAGGCGGAGGTTGCAGTGAGCTGAGATCGTACTACTGCACTCCCTCCAGCCTGGGTGATAGACTGAGACTCTGTCACAAACCACAACAACAAAAAACCCACATTTTTTTTTTCATGTAATATTGGAAGCAGTACTACCTCCACTGTCATCACACTGTCCAGTTTACTGGCAGCTCCTATTGGAAACTAATGACTGCCAGATGGGGTGGGTGGTTATTAGTTGTTACCACTTGACAAAAGAGAAAACAGGCTCAAGGGTAGGGGTTCCAAACATCTCCAGGTCTCCCACCAGTTAAGGAAGTCAAAAACTGAACTCGGGTCTTCTGATTTTACATATGAAGTCCCTGAAAGAACTGTGGTATCAGCTATTATTTAGGGAGATTGTTAGACCTACACACCTGGCAATGAGACACAATTCTCTCACTGATATTAAGTCATATATCATCCATGAAGTATTTTTAAGGCCTTTAAAAAATGTGTGGGACACTGCACTGCACCAGCAGCTGGTAATCTCAGTTCTCTATGGCAGTTGTGGTCATACCGTGGCCTCTGGGCCTTCGGATGTTTTACTTTTGTAAATGGCTGGGAAAAAAGTTGCAAGTGTAGTTATGTTGTGACAGGTGAAAATTATGTGAAATTGAAATTGTCCATAAAGTTTTATTGTAACAGTCACGCCCATTCGTTTATATCATCTATGACTTTCACAATAGTTGAGCAGTTGACACAGAGAATGTGGCCCATTGAGCCTGACATATTTACTATCTGGCCCTATACAGAATTTGCTGACCCTTGCTGTAGATCAATCACTATCCAGCCCTTCATATTATATATATTCACCGAGTGACCATCGTAGTTTGGCATCTTCCAGATTTTTTTTTTCGGTTGTTCCAGTCTTAGCACCTTTCGAATGATTTTAGCGCTGCCTGCTGTACTTCCACTCCAACAGTTTGGGTTAGGTTAGACAAAGACATGGCTAAGCCAAGAAAAGTAACAAACCAGCGGCCTCTTGTGGCCAATGTAAGTATTATTTAGATACTTTGGTTAACAGCTTATAGTGAAAACCTAGGGGTAGATCGTCTTTGCTCAGGGTCGAGGATTGCAATTATTTTGAAATACCTAGGATATTCTGCAATTTATTTCCTGCCTCTGATCACAGTTATAACCTGCATAGTGAAATACATTTGTCTAAGTTAGCTGAGTTAAAAATAATGCAAAAAAGGAGACAATAGAATTACATCTAACTGAATTACTCTTCCTAACGTAAGAATTTTTAAAGCCTGGGAAAAAGGAGAACTTTAAAGAAAGACACTGATTAACATGTAGGATATTTTAGTGTTAGAAAAACTTGCTGGCATCCTTGTATTTTTGTCAGGAAAAACAGATGCAGCCTAGTGGGAATCAGAAATTTGGATTATTGTCCTACCTAGCCTAAAAACAGGCCCTGATCACGGTGAGAGCAATTTTTCCTCTTGTGCTTCAATTCATCCCTTGTAAATGAAGGTGCTGAACAAATCTCAAAGGAATTTTATACCTTGGACAGATCAAATTTCATATCTATCTAGAACAAATTTATATAATTTTCCCACAGACCTTCAGTTTAGGTAATTTGCTGAGGTCACTTGGCTGCCAAGTGGCAAAGTCATGACTCAAATGTAGGTGTTACTCTAAAGCTTTTGCTGATGACCCTTGACACTGTAATACTATGTATATCATTGCCTTATCAGGGCAATTAATTCCTCACCTTGAGAGGGGAGAAGGGCCATCTCCTGATGACCAGTATTTTGGAAAACTCTGCTGTTCCCAGTAGCTAAAAATTTTTAAAGAAGAGATCAGAAATTGGATTACACTGGACCCTTACTTAGATACAACTAATACACTACTTTTGTGTGCAGTATTTGCTACTCTTCTTTAAAAAGAGGGATTCAGGTCCAAGGCAAGAGAAAAGTTTTTAATAAACTTTTATTTTATATTCAAGATAAAGCATATTCACAATTCAATGTGGAAATAAATTACTAGAAATGCTTTGGAAACCTTTCCATTTTCCCCTCAAACTCACTTTTTTTTTTAAGCTCATAAGTTTTTTTTACTTGATTTTAAGAAACATGGCAACTATAATACTAAGAAAGAATACAGCTTTGTACAGAAACATATAGCTTTGTCTGACTGTAAGGTTTAGTTGGTGTTTTAATAACAACAAAAAAGCACACAAGACACAAACACTCTTCGATAGGTTTACTCAAACAGCTTCGCGAGAAGAAAAAGGCACAGATTTAAGGGATGACAATGATCATTAAGAATGTAGTAAATGGGGACTCAGTCAAAAACTGACACTTTACGAATTAAGTCAAAAAAAAAATGAAGTCTTTCAAATTATGTCTTCATTAAAATGAATTTTTAAATTAAATTGTATAAACATATGATATAAAGTTGGAACTTTGGGAAGTGTCTTTGTATATTTCCTTTATGTACAAATCTCTGTACACAATTTCAATGTCCCTTATATATTTCCTATATAGCAAACTGAGCCAGGACCTCCCAACTGCATGCCTCAAGTCCCTGTGGAGCACTCTGGCAGCTGGATGGCCCTAGCTGTTTTCTGACAAAATAGATGGAAAGGAGGAGGGACCAATTAAATGTAGTCATCTTCAACTGGCTCTCCATTGACATCACAATAGTGGATAAAAATTGCCACTACTCGCTGAAATACACCTTTCTTCATCTGACGCATCTCTGAAATTTCCTCTCCTATTGTTTCCATACAGATGTCTGCAGACAGCTGTCCTTTCCTTCTAGGCGCATAGATAGTGCCTTAGAAATTAGAAATAAAAGGAGATATATATATGATAATCAGAAATCATTTAGAAAATCATCGATAAGCTGGTCCATAAGATACTCCCATATACTGCACTATAATGTAACTGATATACGAATAGCTCATGGAATAGGTCACCACCAGTTTACTCTTATGTTTCATGCCTAAGACAGCATACATCCTTAAAGGCCCAAGGTAAAAATACTGCACCAAAGGTACGTCAGTCACATGTACATGTAGTTCATAAAATCCATTTCCTCAAAAAGTATTTTTTTTTTTTAAAGTTTGGTTAACACTAAATATTCAAAGTATGCTACCACTTAGAGAAACTACATTCAAAAATTTCTCCCCAAATCTCTGTCTAAATTCTAAGTTTCCACAATAAGCAGCTCGTAACTAGCAGGAGAATAATACAATTGGAACAATTTTGAAACAACATAGTTGAATAGTTATTCAATAAATAATAAGATTATAAATATTTGGGTAATACAAAAATCTTGTAGGAAAAACTGTCTAAAGGAATCCTTTCTACCAGTCTTTATATATTCTTAGTAAGTCCACTGAACATCTATTGTACAAATAAAGAACTGCTCTGGAGTAAATAAAAAATATTTA